AACTTCCCAATTGCTGATTCCCTACATCTCTTTGATTTGGGAATTATGAAACGATGCTTAAAAGAATGGGTTCATGGAAGTCGTAATTGTCGTGTAAAATTTTTTTCTACTCAGATTGAAATTATATCAAAATGGTTAGAAGAAAGTAATTCCAAACTACCAAATGATATTCATCGATCAGCAAGAGGTTTAAAGTGTCTTGTCATTTTAGAAAGGCACAGAATATAGAACCTTTTTATTATATTTGGGACCTATTATTTTAAAAGATTACTTAACTAATGAATTATACAGACATTTTCTTTTATTTTTTTGTGCTATAACTATATGTTCAACTAACTATTATACTAAAAATGAAAAACTTATATCACTGGCTGAGCAACTTTTGAAAGATTATATTGAGTTATTTATAACCAATTATGGTGATGATGCTATCAGCAGCAATGTGCACAACTTGGGTCATGTAATAGATGATGTTAGAAAATTTGGTCCTTTACCTAACATAAGTTCCTATCCATTTGAGAGCAAATTAGGATCATTAAAACAATTTCTAAGAAGTGGGAATCGTCCATTAGCTCAAGTGGCAAAAAGATTGATAGAAACATCTGTATTAGACTGTAGAACTCCATCAGCACCCAAAGTTCCTATACTTAAAAATGAAATAGTTAATCCACATTTTGTACCACCTGTTTCTAACATTAGCTATTTTAAAACAATTAAATTAGTGCAAGGTGTAGATTTAAGTACAGATCCAAAAAATCAATGGTTTATGACAAAAAATGGAGACATTGTCAAAATGATAAGTGTTTATTCGTTGAAAAACAAAATTTATATATATGGTTCTAAATTAAAAAAACTGTTAAACATTTTTGATTATCCATTTGAATCAAAATATCTTAATATCTATACGGCTTCTTCTAATTTTCACGAAGCATGTAATTTTGAAATTGAACAGATTAAATGTAAAGTAATAGGTTTAAATTATAAAGATATGTTTGTATTTTTTCCATTACTTCACACTATTGACCTACTTAATATGTGATTTAGATTGTGGGTATAATTATAATAAAAAAGGTATATGTATTAAAAAATGATTTTTATTAATATTTATTAAAGTTTTTAATTTAGACAACTAGATTTATGTACTACTTAAAAAATAGACCCTTATGGACTATTATCACAAAAAATGCCTTTTTTCTTACAAATAAAAAGTACTGTAGTAATTTGAGATCTAGTTTGTCAATTACAAAATAAGCTACGACTAATAACAAAAATCTTAAAACAAACAAAAAAACTTTTTTATCGCTTTCAAAACTGTTATAAATATATATTGCAAACACAAAACAACATGTATTTTATATGTTTCTTCTCTTTTATGTTTCTTAATATTATTTTTTTTCTTAATATTATTAATACTAATTTTAAGAAAAATAAGGTTAATGTGGATTAGTACAAAATATCCAAAGACCAACATATAAATAGAATGTTCAAGTATTTAAAGGGTGGTCTAATTATATTCCAACATAAAATAATTTTAGTTATAACTAATTTAAAAAAATGTGTAAAATAGTCTACTACGTCAGTGTACTAATCTTTATAATAAATTGTTTTTTTAAAGCAAATAGTTACTGCACCTTTCTTTCACGAAATATTCTAGATATTTTATTACATAGAGTAATAAACTTGATCTGTTGACAAATTTACTTGAAATAAAATCTAATGTTATTAAATCTGGATCGGCCTTGAATATTTCAATAGTATGCAGAATGTATCTAAGAAAATATATAGTGCACAAGTCAATAACTTGTCTACTATCTAGGACAAGACGTGTGAGAAACTCGAATCTATATATTTCTCGCAGCAATAAATTTAATTAATCAATTCTTCTCCAAGAAACACAAAGATATCGTGATGTATAGTTTCAAGCCTTTTATAATTTCATCTCTTGAGTCTTAAATCTGAGACAAGTAATCGACCAGCACACTGTATAACTGTGTATAACTATCCTATACATACGCTATCTTTAAGTTAAAACAAAAATAAACAATATTAATCATGTTCATTGGTCTCATTAATCTCAGGGTCATTAATATTGTTAGATGTACCATCACTGACATCTTGTTCGGAAGTACTGTTTTTTTCTGTATCTTCATTATCCTGATGATCATTCCTCAAATCATCTGGAAGAATATTGCTCTTACTCTGACCTAAAAAAGTAAAAATACTACTATTAGCTTTATAGAAATTAGGGGATTAATTATTAGTGTTTAAACAAAAATATAGCAGGTTTAGTTGTCAAAGATTCTTTTTTTAAGTATTTCAAATGTCTTCTAAATTGGCAATGTACTTTAAAAGATAACTTAAAATATAAACAAAAATACTGTAAATTTTACTTTACATTAAGTTAATTTAAAAATAATTGAAGAGAAAACTTTACATAAGTTAATAATTTTTTTGGTTAAATTAAAAGAAAATTTACTAAATTCTAGTGTATAACTTTTATTTTACTACATGAAAGATAAATTGTAGCAAGTTTTGACTAAAAGTTGCTTATAAAGTATTATTTTGATAAAAAGAACTTGCCTTTTGTAACTCTCTTTTTCGGATTTAATCTGGTATTGCTATGTTTTAAAATACCATCTCGAAAAAATTGCTCCTTCATACTATGAGAAAAAGTGCTATCTGCGTATTTGACAACTTGATAAAACACATCTAAAATTTTAAAAAATTATTACTAATTTTAAACATGTAACATTATGTAAATAGTTTAAATGTAATGTAATACATTATATTTAAACACACACATATCCATACATACATATATACATTAGATATATACAAATATATACACACACACGCACACAATATTTATATAATCCAGATCTACAGTAACATAAGAAGAAATTAAACCTACCCAAAATATTAACCAACTGCTGGAAAGGCTTTTTGATTATTCCAGTACGGCTTGCACCGGTCCACGAATACATGGTGAGTAGTTGTCTATAACAAAGAATTAGTTTAATACATTAATGCATTCTTAAATTACTAATAAAAACTTTAATTAGAATATTTAAATGTTATAACACACTTACTTTGTAAATAATGTAGAACTTAATTTATAACTGGCAGTTTTCCATGGCTGTGCTGATCCTGTTATTCTTCGTAAATGTCCCACTATTTTCTGACGATATTGTTCGTCATTAAGTTTACCTTCAAATATAATAACGTTTTCTATATTTTCTAAAGAAAAAATTTGTTCTGTTTCTTCTATTTTTTCCATGTTTCTGGTCTCATTATCTTGGTATTTTAATAATAGTTCTTCCAAATGGTCTATCTTGGCTGATATATCTGATATTTTAGATCCAAGTACGTTGCTCACTGAAAAGTAATATATCTAAATATTAAAAATGTCAATTTATTACAAAGGAAATTTTAAACGTTGTACCTACCTTCTGTAATCAAATCTCCTAATTTGGCAATATCACTTTCCGGAACGATAAATCCATTAATTACATTTTCAGGATTAACTATTGTTGTATCAAATTGTTCTTGCTCTACATGCTCTACATTATTGATATTTATGTTGGAAATTGAGTTTGAATTATTTTCTTTGGAGACACAATTGTTTGAAGTTGAATTTTTGGTAACTATTGTTTCTGATTTTAATACACGTATATTATCCACATCATTATCAGAAGAAAATGTTTCACTTGCGTCTTTCAAGATTGTATTATAATATCTGGCAGGAGGCTTAGACACTCTACGACTAGATTCACTTCTTCTTTGATCATCGTCATCATCCGTTGATGTTTCTTGACACAACTTATCTGCAGTAGCAGAAGCATGTACAAACAGAGCTATGCCTTGGGCTTTAACAACACAATTATATTTAGTCCATTTATCAGGAATCGATACTGATTTTACATCAGATTGTTTCTTTCTTGTTTCACTTTTGGTTGGTGGCCAATATAAAATACCGTTGGCTTCCCACTGATGTGGCACGGGTTCAATTTCTTGTGATTCTTTTATGTACACTACTTTGAAATGATCCATTGCCGCGAGAAAAATGGGTTAGAATGACTTTATCTCGTTACGGCGTTATCTCGTCGCGACGCGTGGCGAGATGCTTGGATGTGGACGACGATGACGGCGACGACGCTTCGGCGAGGTATCTCGCTGGTACCTTCGACAGGGTGTTCGCGGGCCCCGAGACGAGCGAATGACGTATCTTTTCGTCTGTTTTTTTTTTCTTTTCTTTCGACCCGGTTCAAGAACACAGCTCGAGAGCGCGTTCGCTCGGCTGCACGACTGCCATAACCATAACCTAGATCACCATAAATGGTATCGCAAGTCGGATTTAGTTAAGATATACGACTCATTTGCAAATCTAGTATAGAATTTTCGACTAATCGATACTTTATCGACATGTTAAGTCAGTTTAGCGACCTTGTTAAGACTTTTAGTCAATATAGGTACAATTTTGCCTACAGTGGTATACTACTTAGTTTGCAAAAGTCTGAAAAAGTTCATTATTTTATACGAGAAGACAAATCTTAGTAGAATTTATCGCACCTTTTACTACGTAAAGTTTGATATAGTGTGGAACGCTGACTTCGCCATTTTTATTCCTCAAAGAGGAAGGCAAATAATCCGCCATTTTTCAGTATATTTAGATTTATATTTTTTAACGTACTTTATTAACAATTTAAAGCATTTATATAATATCTGTTGTTAAAGTTTTGACAACATGTTTATTTTAAAAGTAATTTTGATTTAAAAAAATTAAAATTTATATTTTGAAAATTTTAGTTATTTAATAGAATATTTAGTAAATTGGAATATTTTAGAAGGAATTCGTCTAATTTCGACCTATTATTTCCACATTTATCAATAAAGTGGGTTTCGTTATAAATATTCAGTGCTGGGTTCGTGTATTTATGGCAAAATTACAATAGTATCAAAGACCGCTAACTATATTTTTCCTCTAAAGCCATTTTATTTGTGCCAAATTGATAAGTACGTATTATGATACATTTATTACACCAATGCCGTCATATGGTTTGAATGAAAGCACGAAAACTACACCTAAAATGTACGTTGTGAAAAAATAACCTCAGGTCTAGCAGAGTGTACAAAATCAAAGTTTACAAAAATTACTTATACCAACGTTAAAACTGGTGGAAAAAATATAACCTCAATTTAACTTATATAAGTCGGATACCAACGTTGGTACAACCTAAATTTGATTCCCCAAATTAGTGCAAAAGAGGGTTGAAACGACGTAGCGAAAACGTTGGATACCAACGTTAAGTGTGTTTATCTTAAC